CAAAGGCTAGAAGTAGTCTTCCTTTATGATCCCGAAAAACACCTCCTAAACCAGCTTTGTATGAAGAAAGAAGGGATGCATCCACATTAACCTTCAAACAATGCACAGCTTTGTATGATAGCCTATAATGAGATATGAAAAAGTAATATGAAATTGACAAGTTTTTGGACTCTTTCTTTCTTTTCTTGATTACCATTGTTATGTTTATGTATTTCTTTATGGTATCAAAGTGCGTTCGTTTCTGGCGTGCTTCTCATGGCGAACTCAACGCTTCTCAAGTTGGAGATCCTGGTTCGAGTACAACGGAGAACGCAGGTATTCCTGCACAGCTTAAATTTCTTGTTTCCAATCTCATAACTCTGGTTCCGACTCAGCTATCTACCGACAACTACCCGATTTGGAGAAGTCAGGTTTTCAAACTGTTTAAGGCAAATGGATTTGAAAATTTTCTTGAATCTGCCGAGATACCTCCATCTTCTCAAATCTCTCAACAAGATGGCACAATGGTGTTAAATCCAGTATACAGCAAATGGCAAATAACAAATCAAAATCTGTCTGCTGCGGTGTGTTCAACAATATCTCCCTCCGTATTACCTTATGTACTCCATCTTGAAACCACATCTGAGGTATGGAAGACACTTGAAATCAGATTTCAATCAACTAATAGATCCAAAGTCATCCAGCTCAAGAATGAGCTACACAACGTGTCTATGAAGGCACTTTCGATTACTCAATATCTAACATAAATCAATATTCTTGTAGATCAAATTGCTACAGCTGGATCTAAAATAGATGATGAAGATATAATCACGTATATATTGAATGTTCTCCCATCTCCCTACCAAGCATTCAAGACGGCGATAAGGACGACTCCTATGCCAATTGGTCTTGACAATTTATATGCTCTACTAATAAGTGAGGAGATTCTCGTAAATGCAGAAAATATAAGAATCTCTACGAATCAGGATTCATAGACTGCATTATACACCTATAGAGGAAGAAACAAAAGAAATCGTGGAAGGTATCCACATAATGTGAATTCTGATACACGCAATCCATCTCAACCAGTGATAATCTGTCAAATATGCAATAAGAGAGGGCATAATGCTTTAGACTACTGGCACAGACTCAATGTAAACTGCAAGCCATCTGCATCGTCAGCTACTACAAACAGAGCTATGGTCACTACAGCTGAACAGGCGACGGATAACTGGTATCTGGACTCTGGAGCATCAGTACACATGACGAATCTTGAAGATAACTTTTCTCAAATGATGTCTTACAAGGGATCTGACACGGTCACGGTTGGAGATATATGGGCGGTCAATTCCGATTGCGCATTCTGGGACAGACATTCTTCCAACTCCCTCCCATAAGCTTCGCTTATCGCATCTTCTCCATCTTCCGAACATATCTCATAATCTTATTTCCATTTCAAATCTCGTTAAAAACAATGATATATCCATCACATTTAACCCATTGGGCTTTGTTTTCAAGGATCTGAAGACAGATCACATACTCCTCAAAGGCCCTTGTAAAAATGGTCTGTATCCCATACCGTCTAATAAGGGTCGACAGACGCATTCTGCATTTCAAGCTATCAAGCACTCACCGAACAAATGGCATAATCGTTTGGGGCATCCGCATCAAAAAATTATTCATCTCATAGCAAGAAGCAATCCTACTCTCTATATTCCCTACTATACTTCTACCTGTAATTCGTGCAAAATGTGTAAAGCTCACAAACTGCCTTTTGAAAAATCACTCAATAGGAAACATAATCTATTAGAGCTTATACACTATGATGTATGGGGACCGTCTCTGGTCTCATCCAATGAAGGTTTCAAATATTATGTAGTTTTCATAGACGACTTCTCACGTTATATTTGGCTATTTCCGATTATACAAAAATCTGATGTTTGCAATGTTTTCATAAAGTTTAAAACCTTTGTTGAATATCAATCGTCTCACAAAATAAAAGTAATTAGAACGGATGGTGGTAAGGAATATCTTAAACATCAATTAGCTCAATTTCTTTCTCAAAATGGCATTCATCACCAATTTTCGTGTCCGTATACTCCGTAACAGAATGGTCTTGCTGAACGCAAGCATAGACACATTCTTGAAACTACAAGAACTCTACTACAACAGGCTTCCATCCCTCACAAATTCTGGCCGGATGCAGCACTTACAGCGACCTACCTTATAAAACGTATGTCATCCACTACCACCAAAAACATCTCTCCATTTCAGCTTTTTCATCACATCAAACCATCTTATTCTCATCTAAGGACATTTGGATGTCAATGTTTTCCTTTGACACCTAGCCACACTCGTAATAAGCTTCAACCCAAATCTATATCTTGTATATTCTTAGGTTACTCTGAAAACTATAAAGGGTACAAATGCTTCCACAAAGAAACAAACATCATTCATATATCAAGACACGTCACGTTCACTGAAGACACATTCCCGTTTCAAACACCTATATCTCAACAACCTGATTCTCAAACATACATTCAACCATCATTTCTTATACCTATTTCCAATTCATCATCCATCACAAACAATTCATCGCATATCATAGCTCAACCTGGCTCTGCCAGCCACACTACTCAATTGGCTGATCCCAGTAATGTTGTCTCGGTTCAAGAAACACAGCAAGGCAACACAATTTCTCCATCTATGCCAAGTCAGTCTTTCCCAAATAAAAGGCATCACATGATCACCAGACATCAAACGGGATCTCTTAGACCATGCAACCGTATGAATCTCTTTCATAAACAAGAACAGAGCCTACAATACACTGAACCTACATCATACAGTGAAGCTAGCAAACATCCAGAATGGAGAAAGGCAATGGCAGCTGAATTTCTTGCACATCAACAACAAGGTACTTGGTCCCTTGTTGAACCACCGAAGCATGCTTCCATTCTAGGATGCAAATGGAATTTCAGGAACAAACATAATACAGATAGATCTATTGCAAGATTTAAAGTGAGACTAGTGGCTCAAGGTAATCGGCAAGAACATGGTATTGATTATATGGAAACTTTTAGCCCGGTAGCCAAACTACCTACTTTCTGAGTGCTCCTTACGACAACACTTTTTCATAGGTGGGATGTGCAACAATTAGATGTAGCCAATGCATTTTTACATGGAGACCTTACGGAGACTATATACATGAAGCAGCCTAAGGGATTTGAGGATTCTTTGAATTCTGATTATGTATGCAAGCTGCACAAGGCCATCTATGGCCTCAAACAAACTCCAAGACAATGGTACACTACGTTTACCAATTATCTCATTTCTCTTGGATTCAAACAAGGAAAGGCAGATCCATCACTCCTCATATTCAAACAAAATGATACAAAAATCTATCTACTAGTCTATGTAGATGATATACTACTCACAGGTAACAACAAAGCTGCTATACATCATCTCATTCAACAACTGAAGCTAAGATTTACCATGAAAAATTTGGGATTAGCTCATCACTTTCTCGGAATTCAGATCACAACTACTATAGACCAATATTTTCTCTCACAAAAAGCCTATGCCGAATCCATTCTTCAGCAGGCCGCAAAGCTAACAAAGTGCAATTCGCTGTCTAATCCCATGTGTACAAAGACTCCGTCCAACATTAGCTTTGATCCACTGCTATCTGATTCAAATATGTACATAAGAATTACAGGTTGTCTCCAATACTTGACGTTAACTCGCCCAGATATAGCTTTTGCGGTAAATTTCCTCTCGCAGCATATGCAAGAACCATATGCATATCATACATATATGCTCAAGAGACTTCTTAGATATATAAAGGGCACACAAGACTTTGGCCTTCCTATTAACAGATCAAATCTACAGCTAAGAACGTTTTCGAACGCGGACTGGGCGGGAGATCCGGTTTCTCGTAAATGAACGTCAGGTTATTGCTCATTTCTTGGGACAACTCTTATTTCGTGATCAGTCAAGAAGCAAACCACGGTGGCAAGGTAGTAACGGAATCATAATATAGAGCATTAGCGGCAGCTACTGCAGATATAATGTGGCTCAAAAGACTGTTGCATGACTTTGACATTTCTCACAACGAACCATCAGATTTATTGTGTGATAACACATCGGCTATAGCTCTTGCAAATAACCCGATCTTTCATGCTCGTACAAAGCATATTGAGATCGATCAAAGGTTCGTTAGAGATCAAATTCATAATAACAATATTAGACTATTACCAATAAGCACAATTGATCAAATAGCTGATATTCTGACAAAGCCGCTCACCACTCCGAGATTCCACATGCTAAGACTCAAACTGACGATTATTTCAAATCCATCAGTTTGCGGGGGAGTATTAGAAGACAACAGTACAATCAAATAATCCCACATCTGTCAGCGTAACTAATTCTACCTATAGTAATTGTACACGTGTATTCAAGTAGACACAAGTCTTTATATACATGTATGATAGCCTATAATGAGATATGAAAAAGTAATATGAAATAGACAAGTTTATGGACTCTTTCTTTCTCTTCTTGATTACCACTGTTCTGTTTCTGTATTTCTTTAAAAGTAATGCACCGTTACATTTATAATCACAATATTAATATTTCACAATCCTTAATTATTTTGTGCGGACGTCAAACGCTATTTGGAGACCAACCAGAATGTGCCAAGTCACCCCCCCTGTTCGGTTTCGCGGCTCGGTGTTGCTCGGTACTGCTGACGTGGCTCATTCTGATTAGTCTCCGGAAGGCGTTCTGTGTCCGATCTCCGCACAAAATAATTTCTCCATTATTTGATTTGAATGCTTCATGCTGAGAAGTAGCAAATACCTAAGATAGAAGATGATAAATGATAGATTTTGTTGAAAGGTCTCACCCAAAAATAGAGAAAATGATCAAAATATTATATTGACTCTTTATAAAATCCTCCAATTTCTTAAAGAGGATAAAACTATTTTGATTCATTTTTAAAGACCGGAGGGATCAATACCATCTTCTGGGTGAGAATCTTCAACAAATGTATCACGTTTCAACATACAAGAAAAGTTTTTTAAGCACCCCAAATGACCAAATTTTTTACATTGAAGCGATATTCGCCAACCGTAGCCCATCATCTTCCCAGCTTTAATCAGTATCTTCTATCAGAATTATTCAAAGCATGAGAAAGCCATGGTTCTGTTGGTTTCTGCAGCCTGGGAAGACTCCAAGAAGGCTTTCCACCACCTCTCATTCCTTCCATAAACTCTCTACCTCTTGCCCTCTCATCATCCCTTCTTCTCAACCTCAGCCTGCTCGTGTCCAAGAATGGCAACCCCCACCCTGGAGATTTAAACGCCTTACTGCTCAGATCATCTTCGACTCTCTCATTCGCCCTAAAAGCGTCGAAAGAGAATCTCTTGTTTTTCTTACCGGAAATTTCAGTAGCAGTTCTGGGAGTCTGGCACAGAACGGGGCTCTTGTGACCGCAAGGTGTTTGTTTGAATGTCCATGGGAAGAAGACGCGGAGGCCGCAAGCCTTGGAAGGGAGATGAGGATGGTGAGATTGTTGGATTGCTATGGCGTTTGAAGATGATGAATTGATGGCGGTGATGGACTGTTTTTGTTGTTGTGATTTGATGAGCTCGCGCTGTAAGCGGTGAGAGAGAGTGGAACGAACTGTTCTGCGGGTTGGGTGCTTTGGAATTGTTGGAGTTGAACGGGCGGCGATGGCATTGGCGGCTGGGAGGAAGCGGTTCATGATGAAGCTGGGTGACCGGTGAACCCCTGTGGTTTGGAATGTTTATATCTCTGATTGTAATATAAGAAATTGCATTGGCTTATAATCTCTCGTGTGTGTGAGAGAGAGACAGTTCAGATCTTCCATTGAACAGTCGATTAATGGGAAAATTATTCTGTACGGAATTCGAATGCATTCACAGGTGAATTGTGACACGTCACATCATTAGGGTTCAATGCATTCGATGATGTAACGCATCACAATTCGCGTCCAAACACATTCGTATTCCGCAGAGAATAATCTCTCTTAAAGTGATGTTTTGCTGTGATAGAACTGAGAATATTGACTGAATTTAACAAGTTCTAATGAAACTGAAATGTGCTTATTTATGTTACTATTAGCTCAGGATAAGTTCAATTTTCAAACAGGTGGACCGACATAGATATCTTAAATAACTGTGAAAAAAATTGCACCAGGAGATATAATGCAAATTTGTTAAACAAAAATAATTAAGAAGTTCACAGGATGTGTTATGGTTGCCGTTGGGCACCGTGCAAGGTGGGCCAACGAGAAATTATTATGTGCGGAGAAAAGATATAAAATGCCGTATGGAGACTAATCAGAATATCCCACGTTAGCGGTACTGAGCGAAGTGATGACGTGGTGCATTATGGTTGATCTCCGGACAGCGTTCGACATCCGCACAGAAAAATTAATTAGCCAAACGTCAAAAATCTAGTTGCTTATAGGCGGTGCAAGCTTCGAAATAACATAATATAGGGGCGGTTTGGTTTGAAGGGTTAAAATAATTCTTTTATATAAGTTTTAAGAATATTAATGTTTGGTTGGATAACAAAGAAATATATAGTAAAATAAAATAAATATAATATAAAAATTTTTATTTCATGTTTAAGATAAAGTAAACTCATTCAATTGTGAAAATTATTTTCATCACAAAAAAGCTCTCTTATCACCAGTTGTTGCACTGTTGCCCCATCACCTGCTGTCGACCGTCAAACACCACCACCTTAACCGTCACCTGCCACCATTACTATTGCCTACCGCCAAGAACATCTTTAGACTACACCATATTCATTTTACATTCATTTAGATGTAATTATCTTATACTTATTCTAACAACAAAAAATATTCTTTTTACACTAATTTTTTAACAATTCATTATTTTTACGCTGCATTCCATTTTTCAAAACCCCTATAATCTTATCTTAAGACCAAAAAAAAAAAATAAGTGCCATTATTTTTTATTAAATAATTATCATATAAATAACCAATTCTTTGGCAATGTTTATTTGGATAAGAGAGCATTAAATGATATCTCCATCTTATTCTCTTTTATATTTTAACATAGGACAAAATTAGATTAGTACTTTCTTAAAAATAAAAATTTAATAAGTAGTGAAAAAGAATTTAATATAAATTATAAGATAATTTATATTAAATACAAGGCATTTTTATGTAATATAATTAACTTAGCTCTCGTCTTCTACATGTTAAGATAATGAGGAAACAGCTCTAATAGATACCTCTACAGTCCCTGCAATCCATCGCCGAAGAGTACGGCAACGAAACCTTCTCGACCGCATCACAAACCCAGCGATCTTCCTCGCTATCCCCATCGCTACAGCTATCAACGTCTCCATCATTCCCATCATCTTCACTACTATGGTAATAATTAGCACATGGCGTGGGACTATGGCTTCGTCCCGGCGGCGGCTTAGGAGGGAAGAAGAAGAAGTCGGCCTCCTCATCAAGGCGAGAGCTTCCATCTTTGGGAACGCCGGGCACTCTTTCCCACAAGAAGGGTACCCTCCGGCTTGTGTCGCCGGAGTAAAGCTCCGGTGAGCAGGTGTTAAAAGTGTGGTTGGAAGGGCGGCGAGTGGAGATGAGAGGGACGTCGAGATGGATGAGTTGGAGGCTGCTGCCTCGGCGAATTCGGTGTTGGGGATTTGAGTTAGTTGTTTCCATGGTGGTGAGAGGAGGGAGATGGAAGATGGAAGAGATAAGGGAGGAGAAGGCATTGAATTGAATGAGAAAAAGCAATATTTTTGAAGCGATAGGGTGGTGGTGGTTAGTCTTTTAAGGGTTTTAGGTGTTTGAGTGTTGTGGGTGGATTCATGTGACTATTCTCGTGATGATTTTGAAGGCGCTTGGTGGAAGTGGAACTGAAAGCGCAATGAGCAAGTTATGGAGCTTGGTTGAGTTATAGAGAGAGAGAGACTTCTTCCATTGACTTTAGGCTTGATTTGGGGGAGAAATTATTAACTGTGGATTCCGGAACCATTTGGAGCTCAATCATAGCACGCCGCCGCGTCACTCGATACATAGTGGTACTCAACACTAGTACTAACAAACGGGTGACGTGTTTACCCAAAAAAAAAACAAACGGGTGACGTGGCTCGTTGTGATTTGCCTCCGGATGCCTTCCGGATCCGTACAAAATAATTAATCTGGATTGGGAAGGATATTTTACTGCTTCTTAAGACAATTTTTTTTAAAAAAAAAATTAAAATTTATGACCCAAAAACCTAACTTAAGTAGCAGTAAAAAAGTCATTCTAAACGAAGCCTTAAGCACTTCACTCTTTGCTCGTATATCTACTTTTTTTATTTAATCATTTTATCTTATTATTAGCAATACAAATTCTAAACATGACATCTAAAAATATTATATATTTGTATTAAGTCATCATTAATCTTTTATTAATTAAAGGAAATATGTTAGTTTTACTACTCATTTCACTTCTATCCAAAGACCTTACACTCCTATAATCCCAAATTATATTTAGCTTTGTTGTGGGCTAGGATGTTCACAGCGGTAGAGTGAGTAAATTTCTCGTCTTAGTAATGCACAGATATCTAGCACACAAGCAGAAAAAGAGAAGTAAAAACACTCAATCTTTTTTACGAGGAAAGCCCAAAGAGGAAAAAACCACGGGGCCTCGCCCAGGTGAAAAGATTCCACTAAATTTGAGTGAATTACAAATATTGACCCATCCCCTGACTTAGGAGCAGTCAAATTACATTAGTTTGTAGAGTTAGGCCAAGGTCTAACAACTGTCAGGCGGAAGTCCGGCAGCTTCTGGGCAGAAGTTCAGCTGACGAGGAAAGATATGAGAAAATCGGGTGAACGTACGACGACACTCGACTGCTAGGTGGAAGTCTGGAGGTGGTCAGTGGTGATCCGATGAAGTTCAAACCTAAGTTCGGTGGCGGTCAGCGGCCGGGCGTTGGTCCGACGTAGGTCGGGCTGAAGTCCGGTGGTGGTCGTCGGCCGGGAGAAGGTTTGGTGGCGGATCGGCAGCTGGGCCGTGGTCCGACGAAGGTCGTACTGAAGTCCGACGGTGGTCGTCGGCCGGGAGAAGGTCCGGCAGCTTATCGGCGAC